ACTGTCTTTATGGCTTTCTCAGATTGAAGTAGAAAAGTCGTGTCATCGGCGTAGGCCAGTATCTTTTTATCAGCCATGTTTGGTAGTTTCAGTCCTTTTATAGTGATGTCCTGTCTAAGATTTTCTAAGAGGGGTTCTAAATTAAGGATGTATAAAATAGGGGATAGTGGACAACCTTGTCTAACTGATTTTTGGATGTGTATGGCAGTAGAAATGTTATTGTTTATAAGTAAGTGGCTGTGTGCTTTGTTATAGAGTGTTTTTATCCACGTGCTGAAGTAATTGCCTAGATTGTAGGCTTCTATTGTTTTAAATAGCCATGTATGTGCTACCCTATCAAATGCTTTCTGTTGGTCTATGCTAAGTAACGCTAGCTTGAAGTTTTTTTGTGTGCTGTAATGTAGGATGTCTCGTATTAAGTGTGTGTGGTTCTGTATGTTTCTCCCCTGTATGCTACACTGCTGGTCTGAGTTAATTAGTTTGGGTATGACAGTTTCCAGCTTGCTTACCAAGATTTTGGTCAGTATCTTATAGTCACTATTTAGTAATGATATTGGTCGGTAGCTGGTTATTATTGTTTTGTCTGTGTCGGGTTTTGGGATCAGAGTTATATATGATCTGTTGAAGTCGGTTCCGCAGTCTCTCCTTTTATGCATGTCGCTGTAAGCTGCCTGTAAAATGGGGACGAGGTCGGTTACAAAAGTCCTATAAAACTCGTTTGTCAGGCCATCTGGGCCAGGGGCTTTGTTTAATTTTAGTCCATTGATTGCTTTGAGTATGTCTTCTTTAGTTATGGGAGTGTCTATTTTCTTTCGGTCTTCGTCGTCTGCCTTTACGATATGTTCTAAATATTTGTCTTGGGTGTCGGCATGGACCTCTTCTGATTCAAAGAGTTGTTGATAAAATGTTGTAAAACTTTGTTTGATGGCTTCGGGGTCGGTTGTCACCGTGCCGTCGCTGGTTGTAATGCTGTGGATGTGTTTGTTGTTGGCATGTATTTGCTCGAGTATTATATTGTAGTGGGATGGTTCTTCACTCCCTAAAGTATCTATTCTACTGCGAATGAGGGCGCCTTTGTATTTATGTGCATGCAGTGTGTTTAGTTCTCTCTCTATTGCATCTATTTTATCTCGAGTGCTATTGCAACTAATTAGTGTGTCTAATTGGCTTTCTAAGTATTCTTCTTGTTGTTTCCTTGCAATGTTGATTTCCCTAGCTATTTTAATAGTGAGTTTTGTTATTACATGTTTAAATCCTTCCCAGTGTTCTAATGCGTATGCTTTTGGAATAGTTTGTGTGTAGTGTGCGGCCATGTCTTTTATCGCTGCAGTGTATCTGTCGTTTTCTAATAGAGTGTTGTTAAATTTCCAGTATGCCGATTTATTTTTTACATTGGGTGTGGTATTTATCTGTACTAATGTTGCTTTATGGTCGGTAAATCGAAGTGTTTGAGCTATGTGTTTTATCTTGGTCACTTGTGTGTCTTCATGCACGTATATCCTGTCTAGCCTTGATGAACTATGGTGTGTTGTACTAAAGTAGGTTGTTTCTGTATCATTGTTAGGTTTGTTGATATGTGCGTCTTTTAAATTTTTGGTGTATATTATGTTCTCCAGTATTTCAATTTGTTCTTCGTCTGTCTTTATTCTGCGGATTTTATTTTCTTGTTGTCCCGTCATGTCGGCCATATTAAGAACCATGTTAAAATCTCCTGCTAGCATTATTTTATCATCTTTGTATTCTGTTGTTATTGTTTTCTGTAAGTTTCTGTAGAAGTGTTTCTGTTCTTGTTTTTTTGTTGGTGCGTAAATGTTGATGATCGTGTATTCTGATGTGTTGTCTTTAATTATGGCACTTGTAAATCTGCCATGTGTGTCTGTTTTCATATTTTCTAGTTTGTATTTGTTGTTTGTGCAAAGTATGCTGGTTCCCCTGCTGTGCTGCCCTGTACTATGTATTGATTGTTCAATTCCCAGTTTATTGCAAAATGTCTGTGCTTGTTCTAATGTGTTAAAATTTGTCTCTTGCAATAGCAAGATGTCGATATTAAATTTATGAATGAAATGAATGAGAGCCGGGGTTTTACCGCCGGTTCCCCTAATGTTTAAAGTTACAATTGTGTGTAGACCCATGGTTGGTTCTGATCATTTTATTTGGCCTGTAGTTGTTGATCTTGCTGTATGTCGAGTCCTTCAAATTGTTCATTGTCGCTTTCCATCTCATTTTCATTATCTGACATATCCGTTGAACTGTTTGATGTGTTGAAAATATCCGGTTCTTCTGATGGGAGGGAAACGTCCATTATTGCAGAATGTAAGCTGTCCTTACTGTCAGCGTCGTACTCTAGCCTTACTAGCTCTTCTCTGTCGCTGTCTGGGAGTTCTCTATCCTCTGGTGATTTAACTTTTTCTATTGTGGCCTTCAGTTGCCTAGCTTGATCTGTTCCTCTTTTGACTAGGTCGCTGTAAGATGGTTTGGATAGTGGTGTGTTATTAAATATTGAAGGCGATTCTTCACCATCCACCATTTGTATGGAACCCATGTGTTTACTTCCTGTGTCTCTTGATGTACTCCTCTCTTCCTTGTCACCAACACCATCTTCTCTTTTCCTCTTCAGACGCTGATCTCTTCGTGCCGTGTTAGCGCTGATCTCCTTGCTCTTTCTTTCTCTAAGTTCTGTGATGTCGTCTTCGTCCCAACTTTCCAAACTTCTCTTGTCGTTTTGTAGTCGTTGTCTTTGAGCTGCCTTTTCTTGTTCTCCCCAAGGCTGTATTACATTATACCTCCCGTCTTTCTTTTGGATCCCGTCCATGAACCGAGCGTAGAGTTGGTTACACATGGTGGGATAGTGCCTATCTGTTTTACAGTTGGGGCACAACATCCTCCTTTCAGAGAGGTGGATTACTGCCACCTGTGCCGCCCCTTCAGCGTCTTTTGTCTATCTAACGTAAGTGCCATAGCGCTCACGGCAAACCCCTGAGCGCCAAATCACACCCCACATGGGCGCCGGCGGACGCGCCCGATTCGATATAGTCAACGATTATTGTTGTCCATCCTGTCTTTAGTGTATAGCCTTTTAAAAAAAACGAACGTAAACGCCATGGTGACTAAAGGGGAGCCCGGAGCGCTTTGGGTCACGCAATAGCCGGCGCGCCGACAGTGTTAACGCTGAATATAATACTACCCTTCATCCGCTATGCAGGACACCCGATTGACGGATATCAAGTGCTAAGATAGCTGCTATGGAACTCTGGGCGCCAACCCGTGTTTTGACAAAAATCGCACCCGCCTGGGACGCCACCGACTTCTATTTCTTATATACTGTACTTTAAAAAAATTGCACCCTCCCGGGGCGCCGCCCTTGCTAAATTAAAACAGATTTTTTGCAAAAACCTCTCCTCGAGTGTTCTAATCAACCCCTAAGTTTCATGGCGATCGGATGAAGGGTGTAGTAATGCATAAAAGACAAACAAACAGACAGACATACATAGCCATTGCTTTTTGTATAGATGTTAAAATACTTTAACGTACACAGTACATTATGTGTCGTACTGTACATTAAATCTAAATGATTATTTAACGAGTTTGGAATGTTTCCTCTTGAAGAGATTTCTTCAATGTCTACATGGTAGGCCTAAATGAAAATGTTAATATACAGCGACAAGAACAAAGAACTGTTTGTTTTTTAACATAACAAGTTGTGTTTAAAAAAAATCAATCTTCAATATAAAAATTACCACACAGTATTCCTCAAGCTATGACAGTTCACGACTAACTATATTTTGTGGTGTAGGCATCCATAATCATATTTTTCATTTCGTGTCCAAGACACATGGGGCAGGTGAAGTAGAGCCCACCTGTTTCTGTGACCTCGACGTATGAAGGGATAGTGTTATCAGCACAATGCCCAGCCACCTTTGTTTTCCCTAACGTGAGTTTGGTACCCATCAGAGCTGGGTGGACTCAAGGGCGGTCTACTGACTTGAACTCTAGACAGTCTAGCTCTCTGCCGCTAGGCCACACAGCATCCATACGCATTTTGTATTTAGACGCACACATCGTATCATCTTATCACAAACTATGTGAGCAATTGCTAGACAACAAAAATTCTACACCACAATATTATCAATACGCTATTGGCAGGACAGCAAAGAGATTCATGAAATTATAATGCTAGATTAAATATTGGGTTTATGTTTTAGGGCCTATATTAATCTGATAAATGTAGTTACTCTTGTAATAGTTTAGTAAGTTTCAGGAATATGTTAATACACACTCAGTATGTATATGTAGTTTATAATATATATATATATATATAGCCTTCTTAATCTCCTATCTAGTTGGCTTTTTGCTGTTGATAGAAAGATCTACTCCAGCTGGGTCAGCCTTGTGGGTTCAGAAATGCTGGTCTAAGTAGAATGCCATTGAAATGTTACGTACATTTGTTTGTCAGATGTTCTAAGCTATATTGGATGTGTCCCCTGCTTGTACTTAACACTCATTTAAATGTTTTCAGTTTTGATGAATTTTCCTGAAAACTGTTGCTTTAGTTGTTATAAATGTGTTTGCACTGTATACTGCCACTTGGCTATTGCTGGGGGTGGTAAGGAATATTGGCAGCACATCCGAGAGTAATTAATAAATTATCATGAGTTATTAGTTATATTCAAAGACGGGGTCAATATTTTAGTTACAAATTAAGCAACAGTAATTAACACAACAGTTACCATACTGTTTTATAATTTTATTTGGTTAATTTATATAAATTTGTACAGTAGAAAATTTTGTAAAAATATGTTTCAAAATGTCAACTTCACCATAAAACAATCACTTTAGTAGTGACCTGTACATTGTCATATATTCTCCTCTAAAATGTATTTGAATGAATTTAATATGTTCTCTTCCGTCCATCCCACCTCCATTAAAAGGCATCACAAATTTTCTTACATCAAAAACAAAACAAATTATTCCTAATTCAACATGAGCAAATAGTTAATTGCTTTTAAAAAAAAAAGAGTGTATGCTACACCGCAGAAGTTAAACTAACCCAAACAGTAAAAAAAAAAAAAAAAAAGTAGGCGAGCAACATTAGGATGCCTTGTCGTCATTTAGGATTGAGACAAGGACTTGATCTGTAGTTGATGGAGTTGATGTTGTTACAGAAATGTTGTTTTCATCTAACAGACACATGTCATCTATTCCTTCTTCAAAACTTTTCTCTTCATTCAGGTCCATTTGACTTAACCTGTGGTAACTGTTTAAAATAAATATAAGTTTTAAATATTCTAAACAAAATAATCGCAAATTTTATACATGGGTTAATTATTAAATTAATGACTTGAATATTTTCACATGTTAAAGTGTTACAGGAAAGCTTGTTACTACTTGGCATGTTACATTGAAAAATGTTACTACCTGGCATGTTACACTGAAATATATTTCTACCTGGCATATCAAAATTGTACTACCTGGCATGTGACCTGTGGGTTAAAATGCTGCCATTTTGTTTCTCTTCTTGTAGTTCCAACAAGATGTCTAGATTCTCATCATTTAACAGAACATCATCCTGTGAAATACATCATATTGATTATTGTGCTGGTTGGTTGTATGTGTTAAATATACAGAGGAGAAAAGATCTGCCTTGGGGGTCATCCATAAATGATGTCACGCTTTTTTGACGATTTTTACCTCACCCCCACCCCTCCTTTACACATCGTCACAAAAAGCCAGACCCCCACTAAAATGACGACACACCTCACCCTACAACCCCTCTCAAAATTGCTGTTGAATTTTTCTTAAAACATCTATATTTTTCCAAAATCTTGTCTGAACTCTGTCAAAATAGAGTATTTTAATCAATTCCTATTGAAATTTATTAAAACAGTTTTCTAAAACACGAAATAACGTCTAAAATTCGTTTTCTAACATTGCTTTTTTATAGTACAAAAGTGTGACGTCTCAACATTTGAACCCCCCTCCCCCTCATCACACACTGTCACAAAATTACGGACCCCCTCCCCCCTCCGAGTGTGACGTCATTTATGGACGACCCCTTTGCGATACTTAGTTTATGGTTTAAATAGGGTTTATGTTTGGGTTACCATTTTGTATGAGTGATAGACCTATTCAGTTTATACCAGGGTATGCAAAGGGTTATACAAATAGTTAAAAACTTTGAAATTGTTAGAGCACTAGACTCCTAACCCAAAAGGCTCGAGTTTGAATTCGGGTTCAAGTCAGTTGAGTGTCTCTGAGTCCACCCAGTTCTGATGGGTACCTAACTCATGTTAGGGAAAAAAGGCGGCTGAGCATAGTGATGACCATACTATCCGTTCATAAGCCAAGGCTTTTGAACTCTACTTCATCTGACCCAAGTGTAATAAGCACAAACAGGAAAAGGTGGTGATGATAAAAAGGGTTATAGGAATAGTTTAAAACTTCAAAATGGTTCTTAAACTAGCTTAACATGTGTAATAAATAATTCAATACAAGAACAAGTAAATAATAACCTAACAAATTTTCTCTTTCCAGACTGTTTCTAAATATTGCCAGCAACACCTAAGTAATCTAATTATCACTACAAATGTATTTATAGTTACAGGGTCCTCTTGTAAAAGTTGTAAATTCTTCTTCAGGCTGGTTTAAGAACAAGTAAATAATAACCTAACAAATTTTCTCTTTCCAGACTGTTTCTAAATATTGCCAACAACACCTAAGTAAACAAACTATCACTACAAATGTATTTATAGTTACTGGGTCCTCTTGTCCAACTTGTAACTTGTTCTTCAGCTCATCCTCCTTGGCCTTCTTGGTGGCCTCAGGCATCAGGTCATCCAGCCATCTCAGCTCCCTCTGGGTGAAGATGTAGTCCATGGCCTTGCGGATAAAACATGTGCCTAGAACCTAATTCACATTGACATATAAACATTAGAAATAAAATAAAGTGCTTATCATTTCTATTTTTAGGTAGTTTTTTTTTAATTTGATGTCATATCCTGAAATTACCAATAGGGGTGTGTTACGAAACGAAGTCATCAGTATGGTTAGTATTGATGGTGGTGATGACTGCAGTGAGAGGTTAAACAGTTGTGTGGCGAATTAGACACTGTATATTACTTGATTGTTGAAGAAGACACCAACACAATTTCAGCTGAACAACTTTAATAACATAGATAATGGAACTACACCCTATATGGTAGTCTTACTATCGTCTAAGGAAGCAGAACTAGTTCATTAATAGTGGCTGGCCTAATAGGGGCCAGCCCTACCACACTTTACAAGAACACAAAAAAACACGACTACATTCTAACCAGCCTAACGTTCAACTGTTAATCTATTCTCAGGGCCCAAGCTCCACCCTTTGGGTTCCTTAACCCCTGCGTGACCCTGTCAGTCCAGCGCGGGGGAGGGGTGGGCGCCCTAGCCTGCACATAGCTACGGGGATGTATTTTTCCCAGCAGGTGTGGGACGTGAAGGGGGTGAGGAGGGGCGGTAACACGCTGTCCCAGTTCAGGTGTGAACGGAAAGGGGGGTGGGGTAGATACCAACTAGCGGTTGGACGAGGGGGGGGGGGTTGGATTCAGTTATAACAGGGTGGACTAGCCTGTCTGTCTGGGAAAAATCTAAATCACGGTGGGCCCACAAGAACTAGTCTCTGTGGCCCCCATAGACCACCATAGACTATTTATTATATTAGTTTTGTCAAATTACATTTTCTCTACTAAAAGGTATTTTTATTTATTGATACAGTGTCTACAGAGTTAAAATTTGACTAAAAATACAAGTAGATAAATGACATTTAACAATTTTCTACAGGGCAGGTTAACTTAGAATTTTATTGTATCTAATCTCACTATACTACAGTGTGAGGGTCGGGAAAAACAGTACCACCACCAAATGTGAGAGTGGGGGTGATGAAGATGATCAAAATCCAACACACAAGTTCAAGTCCAAATATAATGTTCTTTATTAAAAATGTATAATCAACTTCCTACCTAACTAATCTACACTGTACTACTACTACTTCTATCTAACTGTTCCCTAGCTCTACATATGTCTGACCGTCTCTACCTAACTCTACATTTCTCTACCTAACTCTGACCGTTTTCTTTGCTAACTATCAACTGCTACCTAGCTCTACACATCTCGACCGTCTCTAACAGATACCTAACACCAACTGCCGCTGATCTAACTCCGGGCACACGCTTCAGTGATCAGCTGACCCACGTAGCAGGTCAGCTCCTGTACTTTCATTGGTCTCTCTAACCAACTAGCTATAGCCTGTTTCTGCTAACCTCTATCTACTTGACCTATCTGACGTAACCTTGCGTTATCACACACAGTATTGAGGTTAGTAGTTTAGCATATTGTTTAATTACAGTACAACCAATATATGTTTTATAGAAGTAACAAATAATAGTTTGCAGTGATCAAAAAACACATAACAGTTGCTTCATTATTTGTACCATATCTTGGTTCTAGGATAATAGATAAAAAACATACTTTAACCAAAAAATATTAAATGATTTTAAAATAACATCTTACCATCAGAGGGAAAGCTATGGAAATTTCATCAATGGTTTTAAAAACCCACAACACAACAAGACAGAGGATCTGGATGAAAGTGAAGACGTGGACACGCTTGATGGGAACGTGGCGTAAGTAGACGTAATCTGGCTGGTACTTGGCTGGTTTAAAGAACAACAGCAATCTGTCGACAAACTGAAAAGATAAATTGATTATATTTCTACAGAAATGCTGATTTTTAAATAAGCTATACTTACTAATTGTTACGGCTCATTGTGAGGTCAGATTAGAATAGGTTAGAATAGTCTCAAACTTAGGGGAGAGTGCGTGTGTGAGTTTAGTTCTCTCTACTGCGTAGTAACCCCGGTGTGTTTATGTATTGTAATCCCAAGGTCAAATGCGGGTATAAAAGGGCGAGTGAACGATTGTGGGAGGTCAGCAGCGGGTTAGTTGGTAGCGGTTAGGATGAGGGCTACTCTGGAATGTGAATATTTGAGACCAAATAAAAGTATTGAACGTAAACACGAGTGGTTCTTGAGTTGAAACTAACCAGGAAGTAACACTAATTAATATTCAATTTTTATATTTTCATGTACTTTAATAATGTTTTTAAAAAAATCTTTGTGTCCATATTTTTAATGAATTTTAAAACATTATAATCATACCAAAATAGATTATAAAATTATAGACAAAATCACAATAGGAAAGTAATTCAACATTCTTTAAAAAATCATTAGCCTATTTTTAGATGGATTTTTATTGTTATATTTTTATGACATTTTTTCTCAAGGTATATATATGAATACTTGTAGTATTAATAGTTAGGCCTATCTGTCCAAATTAAATAACTGATTCATCAGATGGTTTTTTTACCTGCATATCCTTAAGTGCTGCCACACCCATTACAAGGAAGACTCCATATAAAACAGCCATTGGGATCAGTTGTAAAATAGATGTGAACAACACTGATGCACCAGTTAGTGCAGCAACAAGAAGGGAGGTAACTCTCTGCTCTCTGAGGGAAATTCCAAAATTAAAACATTTAATTTGTAAATGTTTATACAATAATTAATAACCACTTGTGGTCAAGAAACATAGTGAACAATTATTTCTCAAATAATATAATTTAAAATTGTTTTGATTCATTATATATATGGTGTAAATCTCTCGAATTACTGAGTATAATGCAGAGCTTTCAAAACAACAAAGTGGCTTTTTGTAATAAGATCACTTCTACATAAATTAAATTTATATTACATTCTCCTTGCCTTTTAGACTGAGTTAGTTTATCAATTAGTTTCACTTTGTCCGTGATATAGTTATGAACAAATATTAATTGTAATGTCAAAAACTCTGGTTATTAAGAGTAAAATTAATTTTGACCTGACCTTACCTGACACCCAAAAATTCTGGACGCTCCCCTGGAACCGAGCTCTCAGATTCCTTCTTCAAGCTCATGACATGGGCCAGAGCAGACACAGTAGCAGCCACATACCAGGGCAGCCCCAGCAGGGAGCAGATGGCAATACAGATAGCCACAACAAGCAGGTCAAGATGGTAGCCACAGCCTTTCTGTACACAAACAAGAGAGGGGAAAACTGATAGAATCTAGTTCCAGTAATCAGGAATAAGTAGGAGATATATTGCTTTCTTAAGCCACCATATACAAAGTAGATTATCTCAACATACTAAACAGTTGTGAGATTTTTCTAGGTCCAGATGTGCTTAATAGAAATTTATATTTATACAGATATAAATAAAAAAAACAAAAACAATGAAGACCAACTTAATATTTAACAATCTTATTCAAGGATCTAAAATATATGTTGTTTAAATATATAAATTAATGATTAATAATAAAATTTTGTGTAATGAAATAAGATTATAATTTTAAAAATGTGCTGTAAAACTTAATTAAATAACAAAAAAAAAGTAAAATGGAGTAGGAAATATAATTACAACTAGAAGAGTAAAATAAAACAAAAATTGCCCAGAGGTTAAAGATAGAAGAGGGATTTTTACAGGATCTGAACTGAAAAAGATTTTACTATTGTCTGCATTCAAGAACCATTCACAAGAAATGTTGATTTGTGGTCCTTAGGTCATAGAGAAGAATTAAAGTACTTGACTAGCTGTTTTTAAATCAAGCATAAAGATGTAACAATGCCACTTACCTTCAGCTTATTCTCCTTCCTGTTGACAATGACGGCTGTGATCTGTTGGTCCATGAAGATGTAACAATGCCACTTACCTTCAGCTTATTCTCCTTCCTGTTGACAATGATGGCTGTGATCTGTTGGTCCATGAAGATGTAACAATGCCACTTACCTTCAGCTTATTCTCCTTCCTGTTGACAATGACGGCTGTGATCTGTTGGTCCATGAAGATGAGGATGACAGCCAGCAGGGCAGGCAAGATGGCGGCAAAGATCAGCCAGAATGGGTTCTTGTCACTGATTGGGTTGATGAACCAGCCACGGTCATCTCTGGTTGGCTGATATTTTAAACATTTAAACTGTCTTTTGTTTACGTGTTTATGCTTACACATTAATGAGGAAATCTTAATAGGTGGCTGACCGTCAAAATTCACATATTTAACTAAATAAATGACCAATGAATGTTGTGTTTCACATATATAATATATATTTAATAAAAATACTATATTTAATAAAACAATAGCCCTGAGCAATTACTAAATATGTATATTTTTTTTAAAAAATTGAACAAACTATATGTCTTACTTTGAAATGAGGAGGAACTTCTAGTTTGGGTGTTGGTATACCTAGCCCTGCATCAACGCCAACCATGGACACAATGGCTATAGGAACAGCAAAGTCGCTGATTGTTTGACGCACCTACAAACACAAAGTTGAACTTTAAAACTTTCATCCTGGTGTAATGATAGACAGTTAAAAACGCAATGAAAACTGATTTATAACAAGACACATCAGATTTGGTAGTTTTGTAGGCTGTACGTGTTTTATGTCAATCTTTGTAATGTGGCATCATAGTAATTATATGAATATCTGTTAAAAGTGAGTGTATGATGTGTAGGTGTAGGACGGTATGGCCTAGTAGACTGCTAACCCAGAAGTATTGAGTTTAAATCCGGGTAACTAGCTTAAGTTAGGGAAAGTAAAGGCAGCTGGGCAAAGTGCTGACCACATTATCCCTTAACATGGTAAGGTCAAGAAACATGAACTCTACTTCATCTGTCCAATGCATCTCTAGGTCTAAAGAAGAATCTTTACTACTGTGTAGGTGCTGATGGTATTTCAGGGTATAAAAAAATCTTTAACTTAAAAAAATTAACTAAGCAACCATGTGCTTATCCTAATTTTAATAATTATAAAAAGCAATTTAATTTGAAATATATTTTTAAGATTGTGTGTTTTTCTGACTATACATCTGTGTTAAAACGAACTTATATATTGCATGCAAGATTTGGGCAATAAGGGACATCACTATAGTTTTTCGGTTTTTTTTTTATGTTTAGATACATTTTTATACCCTCTTCCCAAAATAATAACATAATAAACTCTAGACATGCCCTCCAACTTTAGATTCGTCATCATTTAAGGGCAACATATAGTAGTAAAAGTGCTATATCAATAAAATTGATTAATATTTTAGCCAAAAGTTTTCAACCATGTAACTCACCCAGGTGGGAAAAAATGTGCCAGATTTCATGTCTGCCAGTTTGTACGCAATAAGAAAAGTGCCAGCAAAGAGCAGGACAGAGAGGAAGAAAGCATCAGCAATGTAATGCACTGCATCACATCCCACATGGATGAAAACACCACCAAAGTCCTGACAGTAGTCCACACCTAGACCACTCCAGTTGATGGAGGAAGTGTTGAACTGGGTAAGATCCTCAGACTGATTGGACCCTGGAGAAAAATAAATTACTGATTTGATCTAATTTTCTTTCCAACATAAACACAAAGGCATGTTAATGTAAATATAAACTGAATCAGATAAGTACTAGTAATTGCAAAGATACTTTTAAAATATAAAATATTTGCAATGCAGTTTGTAAATATTTTAGCATGAATAATCTTTCTCAATCAATTTAAATTGACATTATTGTTATACATAAATAAAATGCCAATCTTGAAAATAATTTTTTAATCCTGCAAAAAATATTTTCCGAAAAATGTAGCTTCAGATAAAACTAGGTTTTTAAAATCAGTATTAGAAATTAAATGCACACTAATAGGGCTGGTAAGTAGGTAACCAACCAGTTCAATGGCTCATGCAGGTTTTAATGAGGCGTAGAACTGGTTGGTGACCTACTTACCAGCCCTATTAAGGCCATCTATACTTTAACAAGTGATATTGGAAGTTAGTTAAATTTATTCTTGTATAATAACTCATTATATCAAACATATGTAACAGTGTAATAAAATCTAACATTTTGACTCCAAGACAGCAAACATTGCATTATGTCAGACAAACTTACAACTGTATGTTAATAAAAAAAACCTCAAATATTGACTCACTAAAAGTACACTCACTATTAATGTGAGACAAACTTACAGCTGTATAAAGACTGTGTTAGATCAACCATAATGTTATAATTTTTAAAATATTGACTCACTAAAATCAAACTAACAATTAATGTGAGACAAACTTACAGCTGTATAAGGAGTCTGTTAGATCAAACTCCTGTAGAACACTGCTGATGTGGTTCTGGACATCGTAGAGAATTAATTCATGTAGCCATGTTATGTTGACCTCCACTAGACTGCTGTTGGGTGGGTAGCAGCCACAGGTGTAGTTGATGAACTGACCAGGGTGGGTGTTGACTGGCACCTCATTTAAAATTCCTGAAAACATTTTTTTTCAAAAATTGAATCTCCAAAAAAAAAGTGGGATGTTACAGAAGTGAAATTTTGAAATGTGTAACACCAAAAAAATAAATTACCAAATAATTTAGTAAAAGCTTCAACAATAAAGATGAGGGCAATAAGACAGGCAAAGCTCTCTTCAGTAAACCTTGTAATGTATCTCACAAGGGCTGAAAGGTCAAAGGCTACAATTGCTATCAACAAAATTGTTGTCCAGATTCCAATCCAGGCACGAAAAGGGAGGTAATCCAAACCATGATCTCTATGAAAAAGAAATAATATTATTTTAAAGTATATAAATGTTACCTTTAGTACAAGGGCATTCATGTACGTTCTTTCCATGAAGATTTGTGATATTATAAACTTATATATCCTCATTTTTATCAAATATCAATTTTTGAAAAGTAAAATAAAATGAACAAGATACGAACTGGCAGAAGTTGAACAAGATCATATCAAGAATCAACATTGGTGCAGTGCTGCCTAAGATGTTCAGAGGCTGTCCAGAAAACAAGGCAAACAGAACACCCACAATGCAGGCTGCCAGGATACATTCCATTGTGCCCTGTGTTGGAGAAATATACTTCTTTATGGAAGCACTTTCTTTATTTAAAATTATTGAAAGTAACTTTTTAAAAAATAACAAGAAAAGAAACAAACATGGTAAGCTTTGTTTCTACCTTTGCCCTTCATTAGAATGAATAATAACAACATTATTTTCTAAAGCCAGAAATTACATCTTCTTATATACCAAAAGAAAGTAGAGAACTTATTTTTTGGAGGATTTAGATCTATATCATTCCTTTCTTCTCATAAATTTTAATAAGTTCAACTTCAAATCTGTTGTTTAACTGTTTAATTCAAATTGAAATATAATGTGTAATTGTTTAATTCAACTTCATATCTGTTGTATAACTGTTTAACTCCAGTTTTCAAATAATTTAAAGCATTGGTTATAACAATGAATTAGTAGTATGAGTACTTAGTTAAAGTAATAGTGTTTAACACATCTAAAATACATTTTTATTAATAGGTGATTGCGTTTTTTAGCTACATACCATGTACTGATCTGTAGCTTTGCCTAATAGGCCACCAAAGGTTATGTTGGGTGTGAGAGTGGCCAGGTACATGTAAAGAGTTGATGCAACACACTGGATACTGAATGCATCCTTAAAATCACTGGCATACCATGGACGTTTTCTCTTAACATCAGCGATAAGACCACCAAACAATCTGTTATAGTTACAATCAGTGGATCAAAAAATTACAATTATTTTAGGGAAAACAATTTAAAGTTTTATTTAAGAGTATAAGTTATTTTATTTTCATTTGGCAAAATTTTAAGTAGATTTAATTCTTTTTCAATAGCCTCAATGATTATACTTGATACCAACCTGCCTGTTCTCTGAAGGGTTGGATCATTGTGACTTTCATGTTCAGCTTTCATATGGATATGTTCTGATATTTTTCTGGCAATCTGCAGTTTATGTAAACATTTATTGAACTACGGGTAGAACAGTTTGAAAAAGTTGTTTAAACCAAAAATAGAATAAATCAGTTTTAATGTGCATGCATTTTAAAATAAAGAGGGGATGAATAAAAGTATAATTAATTTAACTAAAACAAATGGATTTTATATAAAGTTGTTTTTTAGCAGAAATATATGCAGTTTCCATAAAAATCCAATGAAATTTTTTTTAATATTATTTTTTTAATTGACTTTTAACAAATAAACTCATCATCTTTTCTTCAGTTTTTGCCCAAGACACATGGGGCATAAGTTTCATATAGGGTGTGTTCAGCACTATGCCCACCCACCTTAGTTTCTCTGAGTCAGGTACCCATTGAGCCAATTGAACAAATACTTTATTAAATATTTACAAATTTTTCTTATTGGTTTCTCCTACCTTTGAAGCCTTGTTGTTGGGAGGGTCAATCCTGATGTTTGGGTCCCACAAACCAGGTGGCAGAGCTGTTAGGCTGTACAGGAACTGATCAAACCCTTGCAGAATCTCTTGCCGACTCTTAGCCTTAAGCGCAGTTTTCCTGAACTTCTGAAACCAAGAGTAATTCATACATACTATTGTAATAGTTCAATGCAGCCGTTGTTTTCCTAAATACATGTTGTTTGATAATAACAATAACAAGCTTAATAACATTTTTAAAGAAATTCTTTAAGCCAATACAAGATATAAAAAAGTGACGCCATAATTATTGTAGATATACTGAGGGTATTTCTGGATAAAAGAAATATTTTTAATCTATTCTTAAAAGTCAAATAGAATGGTGAGATCAGGAAGTAGAGCTCACTATTGCTAACTCCCAAGTCTCTTGTTCAGATCCCAGGCTTCAGTCTGGGATGTTGCTAAAATCATATAGCTCTGATGGGTAGGCCCTACCTATCTCAAATTTAGGCAGCTATGCAAAATATTGATTACAATATACCTTCATAAACCAAGTTCACAGAAACAGTTTAACTCTATTTCATCTGTCCCATCTACAAAAAGGTTCAAAAGGATAACTTTAAATAGCTTTACCTTATCCACCATCATGGTTGACATTGACCTTCCTATCTCAGAGTTGTTTGCTTGACTTCCTGTTGGCCCAAGCAGAATAAAGATAAATCTGGTAGGGATGGGAACCTCAGTCAGCTCCCCTATGTTCTTGTCCTCACAAAGTCTTACAAAGGCTACAACCTTTAACAAATAAAAGAAAAACTAGATTTATGTTGTCTGTCAAACATAAATTAGATTTATGTAGTCAGTAAAAATAAATTAGATTTTAAGTAATCAATAAAACATAAACACTATTCCTTCATAAGCCGAGGTCACAGAAACAGGTAAACTATACTTCACAGACTGTCAGGTTTGAAAGGGAACTATACTAATAAAACTAACAAGATTTATGTCATCAATCTTATTATAATCAATGAAAAAATGAACTTTAGTTATGTAAAGAATAAAACATAACTAGAATAAAATTGTCAATAAAACGTAAACTAGATTGTTTAGCAGCATGTAGTTCAAGTAGTTTTTTTTTTTAAATAAATAACTTTTAAGAAAAAGTGGGGAAGGTAGACTTAGTTATTAAAATGTTTCCACAATTAATCATGTCTAAAATAAAAAGTAATTTCAGTCTGGCTTTCTAAATAGTCTATTTATTAGTTTAAATAGCGTATAATAGTACAAATTAAAAGTTTTTTTTAAAAATTAAAATTGTGTTTGAATAAAGACAAATATGTAAATAATGTAGGTTTATTACATATTTGAATTAGGTTACATTAATAAACTGTCTAATTAAATTTCCATACATCTTCGGTGAGGCAATCTAATTCTCCAACCATGATGCTTGCTGCTTTAGCATTGGGTGGAATTTTCTTTAAAAAGCTTTCATTCAGTTCTGTGCTCTGATTGGTTGGTGCTGTTGTCTCTATGTCAACAGTGTCTGTAGAATACATAGCAAAATAAATTGACAGTGCGGTATGAGATGACTCAGAAGATTACATGGAATTTGTTCATTCCTCCTCCATACTGATTAGATTAAATGAGCATTGGTATTTTAAAGTAGATAACTAATAGATCCAAGGAAGACGTGGAGGTAAATGGCAAAGAAACAAAACAAGTGACTAGAGCCTGACTATTTTGGGGAACTAACAAGGAAGTTGCCAAAGACCGGCAAAAGAAGAAAGAGCTTTTGTGGCGGCACCAGGTGTCCTGTGCACTAAAGGGAAAAGATGAGATGATGGACAGATAAATTAGTTTGAATAAAAGCTGAATATTTGCTACAAGACTTACACATGGTAGAACAGATCACCAGTGCATTTGTTGTCTAGAAATTGTTTTAAAGCTCTTGTTTTAAAATTTAAACTAGGTTTATATATTTACTAGACACTGACCTATGGAATGTTAACAGACCAGACTAAAATCATATATTTTTATTAAGTCTTACAGCAGACTTACCTGACTTAAACCTGACACAAAATGATCTGCCCAGGTCAGAAAAAATGGTCTTGTACCTGGGATCACCTGTTGAGTGAACGGACAGGTATTTGTGAGACTTCTGGTGCTGGAAAACATGCTGTGCATTTATTGCCTGATGAATTTGTTCCCTTGTGGTGTTATCTAGGTCTCTTTTGAACATCAAACTCGCAAGAATCAAATCTGCAAGATATTTTTCAAATCAGAAATATGTGAATATTTAGTTAAGGGTTTAAGTATAGGTATAGCTGTTTGACTGATAAGTAAGTACTTAGTAATGCATAAGATATAAAAATGCATAATGTTAGTTATATACATGTATTAATGATTAATGTAAATTTGTTAATTTCCTACATACTAAATCTAGATATCTAGCTCTACATATCAGCCATCTCTCCCAAAACACAACTACCCCCTTCCCTCTCCAAATATTTTATAAATGTATACTTTTACCCCCCAGAAAATTTAGTTCCCCAAAAGTCAAGTTCCAAAGTGCACCCCCCCCCCCCCCCCTCAGAGAAAAAAAGTCACAAAGAAACACTGAGTACTGGTTCTAAAATCTAAAAGACAGTAGATCTACTTACTACTTAAATCTAGTCACTAGTGCTTATGTTACATTACTTATTTACTTATACTTACTTAATACTTAAACTTAGGGACCTAAACTTGAGAATTAAGATTTATTAAGATTAAGAAGACTCAAAAATTGAAAGTGAAGCCAGGGGAGAAGACTAGTGTGATGTGTTAGAGTTTAGTTTTGAGTTTAGAGTAGTTTAGAGTTTAGTTAGACTAGTTTAGAGTGTAACATGACTAATGAAATGATGACAAAGTTGAAATGAAAGTGAAGGAAGGAATCTGGTTGTGGTTAATTTTAAATTTAATAATTTAAAAGTTGGTTTTACAATCAGAATCAATGCAAAAAGTTGTAAAAAAATAAAACAAAATTTAGCAATGATTCTGTCAGTGCTATTACAGTATTAGAGATCTGCTTCTGACAATAAATAGATCTATTTTGGATATAGATTCTAAAAATATTTAAGTCTAGAATCTACAACTAGACTAGATCTAGAATCTAGAGCTAGATCTACCTGAGAGCTCTTTTACATTGGAAACATTTGAATCCAGCAATAAAATGCAAGTGGCCAGACTTTTCCGCAGGTCAGACAGAAATGGTATGGACAGTGAAGAAACGTGAGGTTTCGACCACCGTGTGCCGCCTTCTTCAACGAACTCTTCGTACTTTACCCATCTGTTAAATAATCCACGATGACAAGACTAATTAGGCATAATAAAGAAAGTGAAAAAATAACCTAGAAGTCTACTTAAAGGCGGTTTATCAATGGAGCTAAGAATGCTTATAGAATGTGTACCAACATATATGTTGTTTCGTGCTATAGTGGAAAAATATGTTTCAGCACAATTTATTATTTGTAAAAGAAGCTTAATAACTATGTCAGATATTTTTTTTTTATCTAGCCGCACCACAATGTTAAATAAATCAACTGTCACAAACTAATGATAAACCTGGCAGTTTCCCTCCACACAAAGAAATCTTGTATCTTGCACAAGACGTCCATTTCACAGAACATGTGTGTTGCCTCTGTATCTTCAACATTGTCTACCTGTTGAAAGTACTGCACATGCCCTGCCCTTGTACTGTTCGCTATCACAGAAAGGAAATAATTATGTTGTTTGAGATGGCGCTATGTTGGCAGATCTTATAATTTGTTAAACAAATACACCAACATGACTCTCCGATAAACAAACAATAACAATGTAACAATATAAACATATTAGGCCTAGAACATAATGGTTATATATAGCTTAAATTAAGTTAAATGTCCCTATGTTAATTTCTCATTTTCAAGCTGAATTCACTAAGGGGTCATCCGTAAATGACGTCACGCTTTTTTGGACGATGTTTACCTCCCCCCTCCCCTCCGTCACACATCGTCACAAAAAGCCAGACCCCCACCCCTAAAATGACGTCACACCTCAGCCTACAACCCCCCCCCCTCAAAATTGCAGTTGCATTTTTTTTAAACATTGATATTTTTCCAAAATCTTGTCTGAACTCTGTCTATATAGAGTATTTTAATCAATTCCTATTAAAATTTATTAAAACAGTTTTCCAAAACCCAAAATTATGTCTAAAATTCGTTTTCTAACATGGCTTTTTTTATAATGCAAAAATGCGACGTCGCACCATCTGACCCCCCCCCCCCCTCATCACACACCTTCACAAAATTACGGACCCCCCCTCCCCCCTACGAGTGTGACGTCATTTATGGACGACCCCCTAAACGAAAAGAGAGGCGTTCGTTCAACTAATGAGTCGAATTAATTATGACTTCCTAATATCTGCGGTGGGGGGGGGGGGGGGGGGTCATCCATTAATGAAATCACGCTTTTTGACAATTTTTACCTACCCCCTCCGTCACACATCGTGACACAAAGCCAGACCCCCCCCCCCCTCTAAAATGACTACGACCTCTCCCCCCCCCCCCCCAAAAAAAATGCAGTTGAATTTTTCTTAAAACATTAATATTTTTTCCAAAATCTTGTCTGAACTCTATCAACATAGAGTGTTTTAATCGATTTCTATTAAAATTAATTAAAACAGTTTCCTAAAACGCGAAATAGAGGCTAAAATTCGTTTTTTAACGTTGCTTTTTTATAATGCAAAAGTGTGACGTCACGTCATCTGAACCCCCCCCCCCTCCACTACCCCTCATCACACATCGTCACAAAATTACGGACCATCATCCTTTTACGAGTGTGACATCATTTATGGACTACCCTTCCCTCCCCTTTACGAGTCTGACGTCATTTATGTCCGATGCCATATAAAAATAAAAGATGAATTATTTTTCAAAATTTGAACAACTTACGTGCACACAACATACATGTCCTCTCGTTCTCTTCATGTTTGTACTCAACCCCCAGACCAGGGTTCGAATCCCATTCTGTAAGGTTCATCTCACCTAATTCTCCTCGAGTGTAATTTGTTCACAAGGCAATAATAAAACAAAAACGTTACTGTTTAAAACGCCGCATGCAGTTCACTCAAATAATAGACTAAACTACGAGTAGAGAAACATTGTGAACGTGTTAGGAGGGGAATGAGATGTTAAAGTCACTCGTGTGTTGTCATAAAGTCTTATCTCATGGTTCACTGATGGTTGCTTGCGATTATAACCAGTCTGATGTATGATTGTCTTTCACTCTCTCTCTCTCTCTCTATACATACATATATATATATATATATATATATATATATATATATATATATATATATATATATATATATATATATTTGTGTGTGTGTGTGTAAATATGTATATGTAAATATGTAGCTTTTAAAATAAGCTATAAGAAATTCAACTACATATCTTTTTTTCTTTTGCAGCATTTCATAAGAGAAAAGTAAATAAGTTACAACTCCCAAATTTTACTTAACATGGTGTCTCTAATGATAAGTTGATGATTTAGTGGGAGGGGGGGGGGGGGTGGGGGTTGGAGTAAACACGTTTATTTTTCTATGATTGTTGCTCTGAAAGAACAGAATGCCTATTGTTATAAAGTAAAATGCGGCTCCTTTAAAGTTTAAAGCTATTATCTCTATTAAAATTTGATTCGTCAAAACATTTTTAGTCTATAGAGACTATACTTTTATAGACTAAAGTTTTCACTGTAACAGGATTTTACAGGACACACTGCACTTAATGCAAACGTGAAGCTGATGAAATATCCAACGTGGCATACACTTTAAATAGTGTTATTGTCATAAGAGTTTCATAAGTGACTTGATACGGGTGGCTGGTTTCTGGATTTTCCCGTTTATGTAAACATCAGGTTGCGCTGTTTGGAATGCCCTAAACCTCGTTAGGCCTCGTACACGTTACTACCGAAAAAAAAACGACTGCTTTATATTTTAACACGTAAATAAAATTTTGTATCATATGTGAGTGTGGGGGGTGGGGGTGGAGGGGGGGGGGGGGGAATAACACACGCTGTCACACCGCTTAAGTGCAGCCAAGCGTGTTACAAGAAAAATAACATATTTGGTAACAAAACCCCAGACAAAGAACAAGTTTCGTAGTAAAACAGGTAGTGTTAGTTACCTCACCAATTAAAGGCAATTGCAGGTACAATGGACGTTTCGACCTACACGTTTCAACACACACCAGGTGGTACCATTTGTATTTATAGACAAATGCTCGCTATAAGTAGCCTAACACTAAACATAACTTTTATCAACTGCCTACACAGAAAGTAAATGAGAAACACAGTCCATTCTATCCAGCTTGCCTAACACTTGACGGACCAGAACACAGAAACACTGGAATACAGTGTATCCACTAGTATCCTACACAATACAATGTGTTCTAACCTGGTAGAAGAAAATATACAAACAGAAGAGTCAGGCATCCTTCTGTAGCCAGGGATAATGTGGTTAGCACTAAGCCCATCCACCTTTACTGTATCTAACCTGAGTCATGTACCCATCATATATATATATATATATATATATATATATATATATATATATATATATATATATATATATATATATAATAGAAATATTTAATATTAATAATAAGATATTGTAAGCTTTTTAAATTAATTTGATATGTATATTTGTTTAATTCACTTTATAAATATTAATAAAGATTGGTTTCTCTGTAGAGCATTATTGTGTCACTTGTTACAAAGACTTGAAAAAAAGGTAAATCATGAGTTAATTAAACATTATTTTTATTATTATGGTATCTGTAATTTTATTTGAACTTGTTACAATATAAGTGTTGAAGTAAAGGCTTACTTCATTTTGTTTTGTTTCTTTACAATAGAAATGTTTACAGAAAATAATAAAAGATGAAATCATGGTTATAAAAACAATGTTTTGTGCACACCACCAATGGAAATAACTTGAATAAAAAAAATTACTGAAATGAAATACATCCTACCAACAACTTTCTATTGTAAATGATAAAAAGGATAGACAAACAAGTATTTAATTTCTTAAATTATGTGCACAGTGTATGAGATAGGCCTACTAATTAACTTTTTGAAACTGGCTTGTTAAAACTCTTTTTGAATCTGACATTTCATGGGGCAAATGAAGTAGAGTTCACCTGTTTCTGTGACCTCGGCATGTGAAGGGATATTGTGCTCAGCAATATGCCCAGCCGCCTTTACCTTCCCTAACTTGAGCTAGGTACCCATCAAAACTGGGTGGACTCAGGGACAATCTGCTGACTTAAACCCAGATTTGGACTTTCGGGTTAGCAGTCTAGTGCTCCTGTTAAAACTAAACACATTTAAAATGGAAAGTACAAATATCAAACAACCTTAATTAAAAAAAGATTATATACTCATGACGAAAGAATGTGACATGGCGATTTTTTCTTTATGATTTATTTGAAACTTGCCCTTTCCAATTTTCTGAAATTCATTCTTGTTTTCTTTCTTGTTTTCTTCTCTTGCTGAATTAACACAAATCTTCCTTTCCGGATATAAGCCTCTTGATGTTTTAAATTCTTGACCAGTCTTTTGAATATTGTGAGAAGCATACCCTATGGTTTCCATACTGGATGTACAGTTAGATGCCATTTCTTCCAATGTCTCTAAATTCCTGCATTCAAGGTCTTTCTCTGTGGACTCTGGAACACTGTAATCAAAAGATATTCTTGATAAAGTGATAGGTAATTCTTCTTCTAAATTCTCTGGAATAGCATTTTCAAATGTTCGCAGAGTTTCAGTTCTTGATATTTTGCTTGGTGTAAGTTCTTTCTTAGTATCCGTAACACTGAAAGAAGTAGACTTCAAACTTTCTTTATCAGATGCTCTGCTTGACCTAGTCTCCCCTTCACTAGTTTTTACACCACTGTAAGGATATTGTCTCATAGTATCAGTATTTGAAGAGCCGTTGGGTTTAATTTCTTTCTCTGCCCCTGCATCATAGTGTGGTGATAAACACAATGTTGAAAAAGGTGATATGTCACTGAATGTAGAATACTCTAGTAGATACTGTTTTAAAATCTGAGTGTTGAGGTCTGTTAAGTCGTCGGTGTTATCATAAGGTATCTCACTAAATGCATATTGTTTTATGTCACCTGGTGCACCCTGGACTTTAGTTTCTTTTAAATCATTTAATTCATGTGGTTGCTCAGTCTGGTTTATTTTTTGTGCACTGAAATCTGTTATTTGATGTGCATTGAAATCTGTTATTTGATGCACACTGAAAGTTGAATTAGGTTGTAGTTCAGGTCCAGTTGTCTCATGCTGGGCCTCTACATCTTTTGGCACAGGTGGGAGAGGCCTGGATGGCTTACGATTCACAGTGCCAATATTGTCAACTGAGGCATACACACTTTCATTGTCCTCTCTATTTTCTAGGGATTTAAGCAATTTTTCATTGATTTCTTGTATGTTTGATCTTTCACCTCTGACATGAAGCTGAAGCAATGAACTGTAAACATATAAATAAAACTTGTCATATTTTTAATAAAAGACCTTTTATGTGAACAGAAAGTGGCATCTATAATTAGTAATTATAACTATAAAGTTTTGTTTTATAAATTAAATTAAAATCGTCCAAGCTGTTTAGGTTATATCATGATACTATTATGCTACTAGTATTCATTGATGAAATAATAAACTCAACGATTTATAATTTGTTCATAATTAGACTTCATTTCAAAACACACATTTTTACATTATATTTTGAAAGTTTATAGCCTACTCTAAGATTTCTATTTCATTTTTAATTATTAAATTTAAATGTTATTCTATATTTGTTAATTTAAAAATATTTACTTTAACAAGAAACACAACTAGTTTCTGGCTAATATGCTACTAGAAAACTTGTAAACAAAAAAGCTTTTTCTTCCCCACCTTTTGATCTCAGCTAGAGTTGGACGTTTAACTGGATCTTCTTGCAAACATTCCATCATTAAAACAGCAATGTTTTGTAACCATACTGATCCAGCTTCATATAATGCAGCATGCTGAAAACAGACATTGCAGTTTACACAAAAGTGTTTTTGTGTTGTATATTCACGCAACTGACTCAGGTTTGGTTGTCAATGAGTAAAGGTTATGAGATATATTTATTCAAACAATGAAAATTAAAGTATTAATAACTTTTTAAAAAAGCCTAATTAAAACAGCAATACACTGCATCTATAATATTTATTGACAAAATAATTATTGTTGAACTATTTTTCATGATATTTTAAAAGAGCGTATTGTTCAATAAGTAAAATACCCTTTTGAACCTCACGGTGTATGAAGCAGGTGAAGTAGAGTTCACCTGTTTCAGTGACATCAGCATATGAAAGCATAGTGTGGTCTACGCTATGACCAGCCGCCTTTAATTTCCCTGAGTCAAGTACCCATCTGAACTCTGAGACCCAGGGACATCAAATGCACTTGAGCACAGGATCTGAACTAGTGAACTTTGGTTTAGCTGTCAAACACACTATCTGAGCACAAGTCACACTGTTTTGTTTAATACATAATTTAAATATCCTATGAAATAAAAACAATTTAAAATAATATTTTATTTAGTCAGAGGCGTAGCGACCCTTCCTGGCGCCCAGGGACAACCCCCCCCCCCCCCGCCCCCCAGATATACTTTTTATATTTATATTTCAAAACTGAGGCTAAAATGAGCTATTAATTTTTTTTTCCAACTTATTTTAGCGCTCCTAGTTTCGTTACCTAGGGACATATGTGCCTGCAAATCTTACTTACCTGGTTGTTAGGGAGAGTTTCATAGATATGTTCACCAGAATTGATTACTTGGAGAAGTTCATCAAGAAACTTGCCAAAGACATACACATCAAATGACGTCTTGTTTGCTAATGATTTCTTTGGGGTACTCCTGGAAAGTGAATATCATCATTAAAATGAATACACTTGTAGGCCTACATATTCTTGCATAATTAAAAAAATACTACTTATTAGACTACCAAGAGGTAATTTTTAAAAAATCTTGTTGATTTATTTCGAACCTTTTGGATGAAATGTCATCTGCTTTGTATTTAACATTCACATCTGAGTTGGAAGAGGAAGTTTGAACTTGTCCCAAAGAAACTGGAAGTACCTAATTTAATATTTAAAATATGTTACATTCCCTATTATTTTAAATACAAACAATTCACTTTAATTTGTGACTTTCAATCAATTTTTTATCTTTCACCTCGGATTATTTTAAAGCATTTAATTACTTTCTGCATTGTTGCCTTGTATGTCTAAGACTACAGACAAATGATTTTAGTTTTCATTTTTTAAAATATTCTTTAACCTAGCCAAAATATACTATTGTTTTTCATGATTATTTGTTTACTTGTCTTTGAAGTGTGCATGTTTTCATTTATAGTGCTGAAATAACAAAAATACATGTATATTCCTATAACTTAATTCGGATGTATATGGCAAAATGATAAACTGTTAAAGGCTATATAGATTTAATAAACGTTTCACATACTGAGATGTCAGGATAATTGAAGACATAAATTGTGGAGAGGTTGAAGTCACCTAGGATCAGATCACTGTCATGAAAAACTTGAAGCATGTTTATCAATTTTGTCAGCAGTGCTACCATTATGTCTTCAATAGATACAAGATGGTTTGTACTTAGTAAATCCAACACACTTTCCTTACATGAAGTAGGTAGATAGACATCCTAAAAAATAAAAAAATAAAAAAAAAATATACATATTAGTATTGAATATATTCAACAAATGTGTCATGAACTAGTTTCTTAATTATACAGGTGTTTAAAATTTTAAAGAATAGTGCTTAATCTTATTTTCTAAACTCTGCTGACTCTAAATTTATGTTTGTGACCTAAAAAATTAAATAAACAAAAATCTAAGCATCCATAATTTTCATCAATTGATCATTATTTTTACAATGCACATGGCTCCTTCTGGTGTAGTAATCACATCAACTTTAGGCAGTATAAGATCCAAAACTCCTTTTCCAATTTTATCAATAACCTCAGCTGATAGAGAACAAGGTTTGAGAAACTCTCTGACAAACACCCTGTTATCCTGCAAATCATATAGAAAATATACGTTATGTTTTATAATATATATAATTTTATTTGACATGTAAAAGCTTTCTTGCTCGTATACATAAGTATACAAGTTTAAAACGCCATAAAACAATAAATGCATCAAATAATTCTTATAAAGCGTACAATTAACTTGCTTCTTGTATTTTCTAAGCTACAGTTTGAAAGCTATAAACAAGTTATTATAAATGTTAAAAGTACCATTGTGTATTCTTTTAAAGTGTCACTTAAATCTTTAACACTCATTGGTGATGAATGTATCAAGTTGCAATCTGAAATAAAAAAATAAAAGATGTAGTTACCTTTTAAATAATTAAGTTAACATATTAATTGACTCTATGAATTCAGATTAAATGATGGTTATTTAATGGTATTTAATCAAAGTAAAAGTTTATTTTATCATACAGTTGTTATAGTCCTACTTACAAGTTGGTAGTTCAGAAACCTGAAACAATATTTAAAAAAAAAAACACATTGTTTTTACATCCTAAAAATTAATGGTTATAAATGTGTAGTAATTCACTGTGAAAATTGAGTACATATTTAACATGTTTTTAATATGATATATATTCTCTTTTGTTTACAATTACTACTATTCTATTTCTTTAGAGAATGTCTAAGTACCAAACTCCACCAGCTCCAAATATGCATTCACCGAACCTTTCTTAATAGCAAAAATAAAATAAATATTTTTTCAAATACAAAACATGGGTAAATATTTCATTGGTGCACTAAATGAACCATGCATCAACATTAATGGGTTCAAATAACAAAGCCATTATGTGTTAATAAATGACATTTAGAGAAATACAATAGATTCAAATTTTATTAATCACATTTGCCAGTAGCCTATGTCCCCGGAGGGGTGACAGGAAAACCTAACTACTTAATCTCATTTGTAGGTACTGTAAGCAACAAAGAAGTGTTAAAATATATAATATTTATTTGTAATCTACTATCACTATAAGTATCCTAAAAAAAACAAAATTGAATTCAGCACTTTGAACAAAAGTAAATTCTAAAAATGCCCCACTGTCTTTCTTCAGAACATTTTTTATATCAGTAAAAAAAATCAGCATAAAAACATACTTAATATATTATAGTGTTAAGGATTTTCTTTACAAAATTATTGTATTACAACAATTTACTTACTGGTTTTAAATCGGATTTAGGAACACGCTTCTCTTTTTCTAAATTTGGATAGCTTGGCTGTTCTATGGATATTCTTTCTAAAATACAAGGTGAATTTTAGTTTTTAAAGCATCTGTTGTTTTCTTTATTTGTCATTTTCTTTAGTTTAATTAAAGAAGGTTTAACAATACCTTGGTCAACCTGCTTCAGCTGATATATGGCTTGACTTATGGTGAGTCTTTGGTTAGGATCATGTTGAACACACATTTTAATGATTTCAAAATGCTGGTCATTGATGCACTTCTCCTGGTATAGTTGATTTGTATTCTCATAAACCTATTGACATAAATCTGATGGCTAGAATAAACGTTATCTCTATTTCTATTTCTATAAGTATACACCAAAAGATACATTTAGTCCTACTTGAAATTAGACTCAGGTACTTACAAACATATACAAATCAAATCCACAGACATATATATCTATCTATATATCTATCTATATCTATATATTAATATATCAATATATCAATATATCTATATATCAATATATCTATATATCTATATATCTAATATATATCTAATCTATATCTATATATATCTATCTATCTATCTATATATCTATACATCTATATATCTATATATCTATACATCTATCTATATATCTATATATCTATATATCCATATATCTATATATCTATATATCTATATATCTATATATCTAATATATATCTAATCTATATCTATATATATCTATATATATATCTATATATCTCTATATATATCTATATATATATATAGAGAGAGAGAGAAAAAGAGAGAGAGAGATATCAATACAGATATAGATATAAAATACATACATACATACATACATATATATATATATATATATATATATATATATATATATATATATATATATATATATATATATATATATATATATATATATATACATATATATATATATATATATATATATATATATATATATATATATATATATATATATATATATATATATATACACAAGACACATAAATAAATGTCACAAGATAATATGATTTAATAAAAAGCAACATTGCCGTTATGTGTATAAACTAGCACGAAACATCACTTACATTGTTGACATAAGTCCAATCATCACATGGTGTGTGGGAGTTGGGTGGGGCGCCATGTGTGAGAACCTCTTCCATTAGACACCCAAACATCCAGTAGTCAGATTTAAAGGAAATTTTTAACCTCTTTAAAGTTTCAGGGGCGCACCATTTTATGGGTATGAATGAAGAAGTGGCTGTTTTAAATATATACAGATTTATCTGTAATTTAAATACATTTTCTTTAGATCTGTTTTGTAATGTATAAAAATATAGGCTACTAAACTAGTATTTAAAAGCAAAACTGTGCTGTTTATAAATTTTTTTTTCTTTTTTTTTTAAATTTTAACATTAAATAAAACATTTACATTATTTTCTTATAGCAATACTTAACTTTAAGCAATTGAATAAAATAAAATGCAAAAAATTAAATGCTATGCCTTATTTTATATAACTTTAACAACATTAAAATAATATATTTAATTATGTTTCTATTTATAAGCATTCAATTTTCTTCCCCTGACAAAATGATCTCAATGAATGAATTTTTTAAAATTGCAACAATTCAACAACTTCTAAACTCTTTATTAATAAATTGCTACTTTATAATTGAAATTACAATTACCAATGATGTTAAATAACATTAATGACAATTTTTTGAAGAAGAAAAAAAATGTAAAAAATTCTTACGAATCAAAATTTCTGAAAGTCCATTCAACTTTTTAGCGCACCGAAGGTCACCAAGCTTGAGCTGACCAGAGTCTGTGACAACAAAGCTTTTAGCAGTGATGCAGGCCACAACAATGTCACTTTGGTGACAGTGTTCAACAGCCACAGCTGCTTGGATCACAAACGAATGGAGCAATGATGCTGAGTAGTAGTCTCTCTTCCAGTTCTTCAAACGTAGCATTTGCTTTAATAATAAATATAGACATAAATTAACAATATAGTCCTAGAAAGACAGAATTATTTTAGATTGACGGGATCTGAACCCACCATGTCATATGGCCCCATATCCCCTCATATAGTGTGATTCAGGTCAGAAGTGTAAATATTCCGACTAATTAGCTCTCAAAACTAGTGTGTTCTTGATTGTCCACATTTATAGCCTAAGCATGGCAGACATGAATGGGCATGACCCCAAAAGATGATAACAGACCATGGTCTTTGAAACACACAACAATAGACTATTAATAGTGCCAAATAAGTCACACACATATGGACAATAATACAGACAAATAGTAGCTTCCTTCAATAGGCCTATATGTAGTATAGGGTAAATATGGAGAGAGGTTGGATGCAGGCATTGTTAATGAAATAGCAATATTGACATAATTTAGGATTACAATGCAAAAGGTAGATTAATTATTGATATATAAGCTTATTTTGTATGTTTTAAAAAAAAAGTTTTTTTTTCAAGAATTTTTTAATAATCCAGAATTTGTACATTCTTACCTGGAAGTTAGCATGGGCCTCAATAATGTAGAACTGAGGAATAGATCTCATGTGATAAGCCAGAAGCTGTATGATATTGTCATGCCTTAAAGACTTCAACAAGTCTAACTCATTTTTATAAGCACAGCCCTGCCCAAACTCTGTGTGGTTATCTACATGATGTACAGATGTTGATGGGTAATGGGCAATAACTCTAGCTGGCTTATGATTAAATTCAGCACACAGAGTGAACCACCCTTCTTGATGTTCTTTCTCAATCTACAATGTAAAGTAATTAAATTTAATTTTAAAATGAATTAATTACTACTTAATAACTTTAAAAAATTATATTTTTGGTTCTTCTTGCTTTGCTAAGTTTGCATGGAAGGTTACCAATACTAATGCATATGCTTAGAGTATAATATTTGATTAAAATATAACTAATTATGATTTTAGATGTAGTGTACAGATATCCACGATTTATTGACATGGGCCTCTACCTATGATATAGTGGAAATTCTTGGCATTTCAGGAAAGTAAAATAATTTAGATGGGTATTTGCGAAAAATAAAATAATTTAAAAAAAAACAGGAGGGGTAAGGTATAAAGAATAATTTTCAAAATTTCTACAATTACCTTTGCTTTTTTAAAATTATAGATCTAATTAATCTAGTTTACCAATCGAAAGAATAAAATCTGTTAAGAAAAAATAGAACTTACAAATTTAGGCATTGCTTCATCATTTATCTCCAAGAATGGTGCCAGTTTGTTAATTACTTCTAAAACCAGAAATGGTTTTAGACACCTGTTGTAGATCTTGAATTCATAGAAGATTTCTATCACTCCTTTACGAACTGTAGGAACATTACTAAACAGCAACACACTCAGATCATGACACATCTACAAAGATATAGGCAAAAAAGTTATAAAGTAATTTGGTTTTATTATTCCTATTTAAAATTTACTTACTAAAAACAAATTAAAAAATAGTTCTGTCGAGTTAAAAGGGGAACTTTATCATAGTCAATTTAGTGAAAAAAATATTGATAAACAAGGATATTGTACTTGTTACAGATTACATAATAAACTGCACATACTAAATTAGATTAACTAATGCTCTTTTATATACATACTTCATCAAGAGGTTCTTTGCTTGATAAACTCTTTAGGAGCATTATCCCCTTGTCACAAATTTCTTGAGAATGTTGATGTGAAATGTTTTCTAAAAATTAGAGATGATACCTAAACATTATTTGTGACTAATTAAAAATATTGATTTGTTTCTGACCACATATAAAATCCAAACATGCACTGAAAAGATTACCATAATGCTAATCTCCTAAACTCAAAATTTATACACAAGCAACTTGCTGAAATATTGAATTTCATTTTCTCTAATATAATTAAAAACTAAAATATTGAACTTTATTTTCTCTAATATAATTAAAAACTAAAATATTGAATTTTATTTTCACTAAAATAATTAAAAACTAAAATATTGAATTTTATTTTCTCTAATATAATTGAAAACTAAAATATTGAATTTTATTTTCCCTAATATAATTAAAAACTAAAATATTGAATTTTATTTTCTCTAATATAATTAAAAACTAAAATATTGAATTTTATTTTCTCTAATATAATAAAAAACTAAAATGTTGAATTTATTTTCTCTAACCTAACTCTAGGGGACAACCAAAAAGACATTAATTAAAAAAAAAATCTTCATACTTAAGCCATGGGTTAAAAACATCACTACGCCATGCTTGAGCATTGAAATGACAACTGGATTCACATTTACTTTACTTGTAGTTATTTTCTTTAAACAGCAGTCAAGAAGTTCTGTCCTCGTGCTATCTGTTCCTGAGAAAAGCTTGAAGTAACATAAAAAGAACAGTGAAGTAGTGAAATACCAAAGTATTTCTGCTATGCAGTAATATTAGCAGTAAGCCATGTAGAAACTATAATTAATTTCTCTGATAAAATAAGACTAATTATTTTTTTACATGTATCAAATTCTGTTTGCGATATTTCAATAAATCAAATAAACTTACTCGTTTTATGAATCCAATCACACAAACAATTTGTTTTGGTGAAGACAAAAAAAGAGTGCTGAGTTTTTTGCTGCTCCAAATATTGGCTAACAATTTCTCTTTTTTCTGGCTGATTTGTTTGGTGATTGCATTCTGCAATTTACGAGGGGATTCCATCAGAAATTGCAGTGCTGTGGTTATGTGTACATCACACTCTCCAACTTTATTACACTCTGTTAGAAGAGATCTGTGCAGCAAAAAAAGAATAATAAATAAACTAACGTTTACAAATTATGCAAACTTATTAGTAAATACTTAGACATGTATTTATATACATATATATTTATATATTTGTATATATATACAAATATAAATATATATATATTTTGGAAAATGATGTATATAGTATATATATATATATATATATATATATATATATATATATATATATATATATATATATATATATATATATATATATATATATATATATATATATATATATATATATATATATATATATATATATATATATAAACTTTTATATTTATATATTATGAGACAACATGGTTGAATGGGAGAGCAGAAGACTGCTAACCCAATAGTCATGAGTTTGAATCCGGATTCAAGTGCTTATAATATTACTGAATCTACCAAGTTCATATGGGTACCTGACTCACATCAGGGAATCTAAAGTCAGCTGGGCATATCTCTCACAACACTATCTCTCATTTGCAGAGGTCACAGAAAAAGGTGAACTCTACTTCACTTGCCCCACAGACTGTCAGCTAGAGCAAACAATTTTTTTTACTTTAATAATGTTTACAACTCAATAAAAAAAAATGCTTAAGTGATTCAACACACTTAATCTTTGTCCTGAAGTTTTCATCTGATCTCGAACTGCCCTTTCTTTTGTGATTCAAGTACTTAAGTACATCAACCATTACTAAAATTTGACTTAGTTTCTTGACTGATGAATTTGTGAATTGATCTCCCCCTTTTGGATATTCAGTTCTGTAACACAACACACTCATTCAATAAACAATAACAAAAGACAAATAGCTTAATGTATGCTTGAACCAGCATTATAAAAAAATGTATTCTTTTTCAAAACGTTATTAGATTTAGTAGTAAAGTACTTTAGCAGTTTAGTATTGTGGTTAGCATTATGATTTATAAATATTATTAATATTAGGCTTAATCTGAAGTCATAATTGATAGGAAGTAGGCTATACCCATTATATTAAAATTTAAATGCATTTTTTAAGTTAATGTAAAATGCAATGATGTCTTTACCTCAAATATTTCATCACTTTAGTCAACTTTAACTGCACATCTTGCTAAATATTTGCCAGATAAAGTAAGGTGATATATTGTATATTATATATTGTATATATTGTATATCAATTTGCATTATTTTAACATATTATATAAAGAAGTATACATTTAATTGTAGGGTGTTTTTTAATTAATCATATCTACTGTCCAATATTTTACAAATAACCTAATGGACAATAGATTCCAATATTAATTTTCATTGATAAGTTTATTAAATTCAATATGTAACTATGCTGATTGCTGTTAATTAATTTCAATATGTAGCAATGATCACAGTTAATAATTTCAGTTAAGTTGATAGGATCACAGTTTGTAAATGTTATTATGCTATGTGATCACTGCCAAAAGTGAGAATATGGTCATAAGAATTTTGATCCTTAATAATTGCTACATCCACTTAAGCTATCTATTAATCAAACTCTAGATAGTAAATTCATAACTAAACTATCATAAAAAGATATAAGTAATTGACAGTGTATAATGCTAAAAATACTACTATTTATATTTATTTTAATATTTTTAATTCTTAACTTCATTTTATATTAGCTTGGTAAAATGTAATGATGTTAGGATATAAATTTTACTGTGATAAATACATACTTACCAGATTATTGTAATTACATGTAAGCTCATCTTTTTGCAACAACAGCAGCTCCAAATACAGAAAACATCTCTCCTGGATTTGTCTTTCCTTACAGATTGCAGCAATTTGAGCAAGGCCATATATTGCTTTAAACTTGAAAAATGTTGGCAAGATCTGTTTGAAAAAATAGTTATGTATTTCACTTTAAAATATATTATTTGGAAATATTAAATACATTTAGAGTAATCTAATTGTCTTTTTTCAAGTGGAATATTATACTTCCCACCAAGACCAATATCTTATGTAAATATATTTTTCATCATTTGAATTTATTTCTTGATAATCTTTAAACAGTGTTAAAAATTCATCCATTAATAATACTACATTCTACAAAAGATTAATCAAAAATTACTTCTTTCACATTTATTGTGTCATAAACTTTATAAAGATAATGTGGGTCACAGTGCTAACAATTTAAGAACGTTGTTTCTTCCCTTATTGATGCTAGGCTAGGGTCTTTGTTACTGGATTATAATTAGGATCAAGATTAAAAGGTTAAAGCTAGAGTTAAGATTAGGGTCAAGAAAATAGTGATTACGATCAGTGGCATATATTTTACTTTGCAATAGAGGTATTACTGTAAATACAGGTAAGAAATTTGTCAATTTTTTGGGTTGCATTGTGTATGTAAGGGCGGAGGGGTGGTTCTAACACACCTACGCCACTGATGTTTTGAGTAGCTGTAGCCAATGAGAAAAAAAAGATAGGTTCAACACGCCCTAATGGCATGCATAAAGATACCCAGTGACTTACTTTGTTATATATAAACTCAATGTTTGCTTCAAAAATTTCTGGACTTCTGTGAAGTTCTTTCAATCCTTTGTAGAGTTCATTTAGACTTTTTATTGTGTCATCTATAATAATACAAAATTTGTTTTTTAAATCTATAAATACAGGAACACTGTTGCAGTGTTGGCTTAGGCCTCTAGCCTAGATCAAAATAAGAATGGTGGTGGTGGTGGGGGGGGGGGGAATTCTCATAACTTTAATTTTTTAAAATAAAAACAGTTAAATTTGTGACATTACCGATTTAGTAACCCTGGTAAGTGGGGTATCTTTTATTTTTTTTTAAAGTTTTTAACGAGATCAAGGTTCTAGGCTATATTTATATATACTAGATCTATATAAGATCTAGATCTTGGCCTAATCCTAATAATAATTTTATAATAATCCTAAATAATAAATATATATAAAAATATATATGACATATGACATATGAAGTCGTGATTCAGAATGAAAGATATAATATTTGAATTTGGCTAAGTTTTTTTTTTTTTCTGGCTAATTTAAGGGGGCAGTATCACCCAGAAATTTGAAAATTGACGAAAAAATTTGCCAAAAAAAAACTATTATACATACACACATAAATCTTTTACCATAATAGTAAATAGCAAGGAGCTATAATACAGCACATAAAAGAAAGTTAACGTATGATGCAAACATTTTTTATAAATAATTTTGGCCGATTCTAGTCGGAATAAGATACGCATGCGATACGCATGCGCAATGGAGAGAAACTACGACTTAACGGCGATGTTTTCGATGGCACTGCGCATGCGTGTGTTTACAACCGCAGAACCCTAATACCAACCCTAATCCTATCCTTAACCCTATCCCTAATCCTAACCCTAACCCTAGCCCTAATCCTATCCCTAACGCTAGCCCTAATCCTATCCCTAACCCTATCCCTATCCCTAATCCTACCCCTAACCCTCATTCTAGCCCTAACCCTAGCCATAGGTCACTGCGCATGCGCAGAACTATCTTTTGCCGAAAAATCTTATTCCGAGTAGACACTTCGAATAATTTTACCTAAAAATGTTTACTAAGTAATTTTTGGCTGCGGTTTTCTAACATTTAGGTCCTTCCTTCCGAAAATACTCTAGGAGATGCATCACAGGGTTGCCTATGTCCGGGACTAGGAGATATCCATTGTGACTGATTTTGAAAATTTTAGAATTTTTCAAAGTCAGACCCAAAATAATTGAACTTTGAAATTTCCTAAAAAATTTATCTCTAAATAGAATACTATTATCTTAGTCCCGGACGTAGCCATTAACGCAAGGAAGGTTTATACCAAATTTTAAGTACTTTACTTATGGTTTCGAAAAAATGTTTACCAAAAATTAAAAATGTGATAAAATATTAACAAAATAATTTTTTGACAATTTATTGCCATACATACACCCTACAATTTATATACTGTATTATAGCAGAAGAAACGTTACTATCGCTGTAAAAATTTGACATGTGTATGTCAAATAGTTTTTTTTTGGTGATAGTTTTTGTTTCCCTCCCCTAGTCTGGGTGATACTGCCCCCTTAATAATTTTGTTCTTACTTACAATTTATTAGATGTGATTTATTAAATGAGCTGATCGGAGCTAGAACAAAAACATAATTTTGTGCTGTAGTTGAATTTTCTTCCGGATATCTTACATGGCAAACACCATTATCTTTGTGCCTTAATTCTTCTTCATTTTTCAGCCTCACCAAAGTTTGTAAAATCTCTTGTTCAACGTTCTGTAACTCTGATTCAAAATTATCCGACTTCGATGAACCAGTAGTCTCCCTTGTCCTGGATATCCATTCATCCTTACATTGCTTCACTTTGTCAACAAACCCATCAAGGCTTTCAGCATCATGCACGGCTTGCACGTTGAATGACAGAAAGAATTTAGCAAACAAAATTTCTTCTTTCACAGTCAAGGGTGTGTCGATGCTACTAAATCTTACGCAAACCAACTTTTCAACTGGTCTTAGTTCGTCAGCCAGCCTCACGCCGTTTGATCTCATCTAAGGGATAGAAGATTGAACAAATCACGCGTGGTTTAGCTGCAGGCCATACAACTACTTACTTTGTATTACAAGCTTTTGTTTAACTCACTTCGTCTGTCTGTCTAGATCGAAACGCCCGTGTGAAATTGCAGGCACTTCTAACTGACAGGTACGGTTCGTAGTTGGTACGTGGGTCAAGACATGAAGACAATGCATCGTGACATTCAATTTGACTTAATTGGTAGCCTAAATAATTTTTTATGAATTAATTAAAATTTGGACCGAATTAGTATTCAGTTCTATCCACACGAGTCATCACGGCCGTGTTGTGCGTGGAGCGAGGTGGGTTCTACGTTAAAAGCGCCGCATCACGTTCAATAGTCGCGCGATGGTTTTTAGTCGGGTCAGCAGTCTAGTTCTTTACCACTAGACGTCACCCCCCCCCCCCCCCCCAACGAAATGGAATTAATGGAATTTTTATTAAAAACATATACTTTTACCAGTGTCCGCGCCCCCCCCCCCCCCCCCCGGAAAATGTTGACCGCCCCACCCTCCGGAGAAAATAGTCTGGAAGAAAAACTAAGTAAAGAATTGCATGACCTTTTTTTTAAACCCCCCCCCCCCCCCACACACACACACACACACAAATACCAGACCTCAGAGAACAAAACGAACAGAACTTTAAAAAAAATAGAAGAACAAAACAAACAGAACTTTAAAAAAAAAATAAGAGAACAAAACGAACAGAACTTTAAAAAAAATAAGAGAACAAAACAAACAGAACTTTTAAAAAAATAAGAGAACAAAACAAACAGAACTTTTAAAAAAATAAGAGAACAAAACGAACAGAACTCGACCTGTTTCCAGAAATCTCTACATTGATGTAGAATCGTCAACGTGGAGGACTTGAACTGTTCCATTAAGTTCTTTTTGTAGGTGCCATCTATTAGACAAAAATTATCCATTCTAAAATATTGGAAATCCGATCAGTTAATTCAAGTACGACAATAGCAGGCCTATACGTTGTGCGATTTTTGAAAAGGAACTAAAGTTTTAAAAAAATAGTATCTTTGTGCCTACAATAATTACGGGGTTTTAAACACACATGTCATTTTCAGAAGCCAGTACCAAAAACAGCATTCTATTAACCCTAAGATTCTATTAACCGTAACATTCTATTAACCCTATCATTCTATTAACCCTAAGATTCTATTAACCCTAACATTCTATTAACCCTATCATTCTATTAACCCTAGCATTATGTTAACCGTAACATGCTATTATCTCTAACATTCTATTAACCCTAGCATTATGTTATTCCTAACATTCTATTAACCCTAACATTCTATTAACCCAAATATTCTATTAATCCTAACATTCTATTACCCTAACATTTTATTAACCATAACATTCTATTAACCCTAAAATTCTGTTGACCCTAACATTCTTTTAACCCTAAATCAGAACAACAACCTTCCAAATATTTATTATTTTTAGAACCCCCCACTCATTCACACTTATAAAAACATTCGCACACAATTAAACTGACACATACAGTTGCACACACAGGCTCGTCCACACAAATCTTCAACTTAGATGCGTTAAACCGGAATTTAAAAAATCATTTTCGGGAGTCTAAACATGAGAATATTTTAATTAAGTAGCTTGTGATAACATAAAACACAGTAATTAAGAGTGAAAAAAAAAGACTTACTAATTTTATTCGTAACCACATTGCATCCTACATCTCGAAGTGTGGCTGAAACTTCACTTAGACTTCGATTGCAAGCATCGCTCACACAGTCCGGCAAGAAAATAATGAACGTCATTCACAGCACTATCAGATCTATCAGTTTAAGGATAAAATACCAAAGTTGT